CGCCGGCCACACCGGCCCAGGGCCCCGAGCCGGCGGCGGGACCGGCGGCTCAGCATCAGCTGGGGCCGAGCCTTGCGGGTCCGCCCCCACGTGAGGCGGCCGGGATTCCGCCGGAGCGGAGACACCGCGTCCGCCATGGTTGCGCCCCCGACGTCTACCCGCCGCAATCTCGCGAGATCTCGGCGATCGCGCCCCTCTGGTCTTATTACTCCTGCGAGTGGTTGCGGAGCAGCTCGCGCCCTCTGCCGACGGCCTCCGGGAGTGCACTAAGGGCTCCGCCGACCCGTGGTAGCTGCTGTACGGCGAAACCCTATTTACATTATGCAAAAGTCACACCTCGGCTGACTGCATACCGAAAGCCCAAAACTTCGCGTCCACCCATGGGGCCATCTCTCCGGAAATCCACCTCGGTCTTTTTTTTTTTTTCCCTGCAGGAAAGCTCCAGGACTGCCATTTTAAACAAAATCAGGTTATTTGCATACATTGAGTTTGCATGTATTTGTCTCTGACCTGAAGGAAGCAACCCTGGGTAACAACACTCAAGGATGATGATTTGCACAATATTTCAGGGTCAGAAAACTGAGGACTGGGTGCAGGAATCTCAACTCAAAGCCCTGTCTCATTCAGTAAACTGAGGCCAGGGCAAAGGGTTCTACCTACAGCTTGCAGGGCACAGTGGACATCATTTGTGGTACCAGATGCTAGTAAAGGCAGGGAGATCACGTGGGCCCAGAAGTTCAAGACCAGTCTAAGCAATGTAGCAAGACCCTGTCTTGCTGGATGTTGTATGTCTGTAATCCCAGCACTTGGGAGGCTTGAGGCAGGAGGATCACGTTAATAACCCTAAGTTCTGGGGTAGCTTAGCTACGTAGCTTGAGCTACATAGTGAGACCCTGTCTCAAACAAAACAAAACCCTGCGGGTCCCTGACAACACCTCACCACACCACCCCGCCCCTCACAGTACCCAGGGGAAGCGGTACCCAGCCTCCACCTCTTGTTTTGAGCCAGGGCAAGAGCAGAACCCATGACCGTCCAGAGGAGGGGTCGCTGGGTGCCGCCTGGTTTGCATCCCTGCCCTGGCCCTGCCCAATTCCTGAGTGGAACCACAGGGAAACAGCCCACTTTCTTCAACCGGGCTCCAGTCCCACCCCTTTCAGGGGCACAAGGCTGCCAAGGGTCTGAGCAGCTGCCGGCCATCCTTATCAGAGGGTGCCACTCGGTCATGCTGGGCACAGGGGCGCCTGGCCAGCATGTCTTCCACCCAGGTGACTCACCTGGTCTGTCTGCAGCTGACCCTGACCTGCTGCTGGGCTCTCGGCTGCCACGAAGCAGCCTGGTCTCCTGACTTCACCCTTCCAGGGGATTACCTCCTCGCGGGCCTGTTCCCACTCCACAGTGACTGTCTGCATGTGAGGCGCAGTCCCCAGGTGACCCTCTGTGACAGGTGAGTGAGGGGCCGCGATGGCGGCTTCATGGGACCTGGGGGGGGCCTGCTTCTGCACTACCCCTTGAGCTACTGTCCTAACCCCTCCACATCCAGCTACAGTTGCTGTCTGCCTTTCAGTGCTGGCCAGACCCAGGAAAACCCGCCAGTGTCTGTGTCCTGATGCAGTTCTGTCCCGTGTGTGTGTGTGTGTGTGTGTGTGTGTGTGTGTGTGTGTTTTGTCAGTGTGCATTGTATCATAACTCCATCCAGAGTCCTGGCTCTTCTACCAAGTGGCCAGAGTGGTCTCCAGTGGTCTCCATGGGGCGGGAAAGAGAAACACTTCCAGGTTTAGCAAAGATGCATTATGTAGAAGTCAGAGGTCGAGACAGAGAAAACCTACTGCTTTTCATTGTTGTGTTGTTGTTTGTTTGTTTGTTTTGTCTTTTTGAGACAGGGTCTCACTATGCAGTTCAGGCTGGCCTTGAGCTCACTTTGTAGCCCAGGCTGGCCTTGAATTCACAATGATCTTCCTGCCTCAGCCTCCTGAGTGCCGGGATTACAGGTGTGCACCACCATGCCCAGATTGTTGTTGTTGTACTAGGGATTGAACTCAGACCCTTCACACTGACCTACATCCCCAGTCCTTTACATTTGGAGACAGGATCTTACTAAATCTCTAAATTGTCCAGGCGGGGCTTGAACTTGCCATCCTCCTGCCTCAGACTCCCGCTACAGTTGACAGGCATGCACCTTCACACTCAGCTCTGTTTTTCTTTTAAAGAAGTCATGCAGAAT